ACGACTGTTCGAACAACTGATTCTACTACTTCAACACCCTCAATATTATCAACAGGTTAGTATAAATATGTGTTCAAATAAACTTTTCATAATATAATAAAATACAATCCTATTTCTCTTTTTATGTAGAACCACCCTGTGTGTTAACATTTGACCAATGAAATTTATTTACATTTAACCTCAGGTCTTCTTCTATGCCAATCATCACTGATGATTTTAATGGTGATACTTATCTCGATCTTGCTCTCGTTGATGACGAATTGGGTAATCTTAATATATTTCTTGGGAATAATAATGGAACATTTACAGCACCATCGATATATGTTATTGGATCAGATAATGGTCCACAATTTATTACTGCTGGTGACTTGAACAATGATAATTATATAGATCTTGCTGTCGCGAATATTAATTCTGATACTATAGGAATCTTTTTTGGCTGTGGTAATGGAACTTTTCAAGCACAACAGATAATTTCAACTGGATTCGTTCATTCACCCTTAATATTAGTAATTGGTGATTTCAACGATGATCATCACTTAGATATTGTTGTTAAAGGCATATAATTAGGTATAATGTTTGGTTTGGGTAATGGTTATTTCAGTAGCGCAACAGTTCTCTATGATGATGATGATGGATTGAATGAATATTTAATTACTGCCACTGATTTTAATAGTGATACACATATAGATCTTATTGTCAGTTACTATCCAGATGGCATGCTACGAATATTGATTAATAATGGTGATGGATATTTTTATTTGTGGATGACTTTGACTTTAGAAAAATTTTCTACTATAGACTCATTTACTATAGCTGATTTAAACAATGATAATCGATTAGATTTAGTTGTTGCTAATTCAAATAAAAATAACATAGCTATTTTCATTCAGAATAATAATGGAAGTTTTGGCCAACAGACAACATATCCGACAGGAGTATATGGTAGTATGTGGACGGTTGTTGTCGGTGATTTTAACAATGATGGTCAAATTGATCTTGCTGCTACTCTCCTTCTTAGACAACAAGTAATTATTTGGGTGGGTATTGGCAATGGAACATTTTTAGAGCCATCCATGTTTTCAACTGAATCTATTAGTGCACCGACTACAATGATTACAGGTGATTTTAATAGTGATAATAAATTGGATTTTATTGTATTAGATATGTATTCAGCCAATGTACTTATTTCTATCAATACATGTGATTGTTGTATACAAAATATTTCGAAGAAATAATGAATATTAACATGATAAACTATTCAATTCAATTATATACATTTTTATGCAAGCTTTTGCTTTTGTCCATTGTCTTCATGTATGTAGTGTTGTTGGCTTCTTATTTATTTCAAATAAAATTAAACTTAACTTTAATAAAATCATCTTGAGGGTGTGGGTGGGTGTGTATATAAAGTTAATGAGACACCCACACCTACATCTTCAATAACTTTAA